ATATATATATAATGTAGGATGGGTTGGAGGAATAAAGAAGTATAATATTATGCATATATAATTTCATTTTTTATAAATTTTTATTACTTTTATATATGTATATGTATATAAACTATAATGATATTTTTTTTAATATATATAATGTATGAATAAATTTCATATTTATTTCATACTTTTTAAAAGTGGGAAAAAGTAGTTGACAAAAAATAAAGTGGAAAAACGTCAAGTATAAAAGTTGACACATTTAAAACCCAAATAAAAATATTTAAAAATAAGAAAACTTTTCAATTTATTAATTATTTTCTTATTAATCTAAAATAAAATAAGAAAGTCTCGTATCATTCTCATTTTAAAAATTAAAAAAAATCAAATCTGATTAAAATCAAAAAATTTAAAACTAAATAATTAATATTGTAATTTAAGATTACTACTCACCTTTTACTTATCTTTATTATTTAAAGAAATAAAAAATTAGGTTCATAAATTAATGAATATATATGTGAGATGTAACAACCCACCTGACCGTTACACTGCAGAACAACACCACACAGATGTAGAATATGCATATAAAGGAATATATACATATTCAGCTTGAGGCTCAACAAGTCAAAGTATATGTAATACTAACAAAATGTTACACCAAAGTAGCCTACACAAAATCAGCTCCAGCCCTCCTCTGTGGCACTGCTACTACTCTCCAGACTATCCCTACTCTACTCCCATGCACAGTATGATCATCGTAGTTCAACCCACATGGAAACATGTAAGGGTAAGCTAGTGAAAATAATCAACATATATATATATATATAAGCAGCCTTCAACTTAACAGCACCATTATTCATTCTCAACAGGTTCAACATATAACACATAACAACTCACAACTCAATCACAGCTCCACAACACAACAACACATATACAACTCATATCGACATCAATTAAACACATCAACAGCTTATGCATCGTCACACATTTCAACTCTGAGATCTCCTACAACATGGGTGAGCAGTTTAAGTGGCTAAGTTCCCGACTTCGTACTTTACTCGAATTGGCCGCTTGTAATTGGTATAGCTCGACCTGGCCCCTATACCGTGGTCGCTTTGTACACGTGTCCCTCGACCTTGCCCACACACGGGACCAACTAAGTCCTAAAGGAGAACATCACAACGTCCACTCCAAGGGACAACTTCCCAAGGAGAGTTTTCAACAAATTGGGCTCTCTAAACATCATAGTTATCTCAATCCACACAATAGGATGAGCAACTTCGAATACATCTCCCCTAGTCCTAGTGATCAACAACTCATCATCATAGCTTAATCAACTTACAACTCAATATCACAGCTCAATTCAACAACTTAAATAACATGATCAATTCAACAGCTTAACAACTTCTCAAGAATGTTTAACAACATGTTTTTGCAACAAAGCAACTTATCCAAATGATATATACAGTATTTCTTTACAAATACACAACTACATCTGCTCATCATATCACAATATTCAACATTTTTCAACAATTTATCATATATAACAACATGAATAATTTAAACACCCAAAACAACTATCAACTTATCCAAATCACTCATTGTGAAATGACAACCTTCACATAAAACAACGTATCAGGAGTTATACTACTTATATCGTACCCTTACTTATCCCATATGAAAGATAAGAAGATTTCCTACAACTCTTATGAAGACAAAAAGTCCTAATTTCATCATCTACTTTGTCAAAACTTACAAAAACCACAACAGCTATAACTAATACTGACAATTTGACCCTTGTTCACTAAAACAACAATATCTGGAGTTCTAGTACTCCTTTTTGGGTGATTCTGGTGACATTGGAAAGCTAACATCCAAGACTACAACTTTTATGAAGACCCTAAGACCAAATTCGGTCATCTAGCCCCACCGCTGCAGCGCTCAATCCAATGCTTTAGCTGCAACCCTCTGCCAGTTCATTTCCTTTCCACGGCCATGACTATGAATCCATGGCCATGGCTGCAAGTTTCTGCCACTCCAATTTTTTTCCAGAGATATGGCTGCAAAATCACAGCCATGACTGCAAGTCTCTGTCATCATGTTTTTTCCTCCCACGGCTATGGCTATGAATCCACGGCTATAGCTGTGGGTTCCTGCAAGTGCATTTTTTTACTCCACGACTATAGCTGTGCGTTTCTGAACTTATAAAACTCCATGAATTTCACCTTCGTTTTCACTCAATCCTCCATGAACTTGCAATCCCAGGAGACCCAAACCATGCAACAACTCAAATGCACCACTACCAACCACATGCAACCCAAAAATATCAAGAATCACAACATGCATGCACCAAGATTCAAAAGATCATCAAGAACAATCACATGGTTTCAGCTTTACCACATGCAACCAACCTAGCTCAATTAATCAACCCCCAAATCACATCCTAGATGAAGATCCAACTACATGCAAGCCAAAATGTATGACAAACTCAAGTTTTAGCTTCCCTTACCTCGGAGAAGAAGAATCCGAACTTCAGGGAAGAAGAAGACAAGCTTTCACACGACTCCGGGTTCTTTCCCAAAATTGAAGCTCTCTAGCACCAAAACCCAGTTTCTCCTCGGAGAATAGGAAAGAGAGGAGAAAAGGATTTAGCCCAGCCAAGAAGATGAAATGAAAAGTAGAGAAAGAACGGAGTCGGGGCTTACATGAGAGGCACACAAAATCACCATACACCTATTAATAATTTAAAAAAAAAAAGTTAAAATATAAATTGAGGTGCTAAAATTAAAGCGCTATATATATATATATATATATATATATATATATATATCTGAAAATCATGATATAAGTTTAAAAAAAACATCATTTATTTGAATTCTTTAACAGTCAAAAACAAGAAAAACAGCTGGATTGAACTGATTTTTTTTTTCTCAACAAGTTAAGACATTTGGTTATTCATTTTCAACAGTTAAATCAATGATTTTATTTAACATGGGTTTAACCGGACAGAACTGGTATCCAAACACTTATTCAATTAAGCTGATTCAAGGGTAGTCAACTGATAATTTGTTGAATACATAGATATAGAGATGCGCCACATCAGAATTTCTATACATGGCTGATCAAAGAATAAACAGTGATGTACTCCCAAGTGTTCAAAACATGAGACAAAATGCATCATAACAGCCAAATGTGTTCAAGGGTAATTGACAGAAATTAATTTTTATTACTCATACCCTAATCAAAATAATTTTACATGACATGGGTTCATGTTAAAACTAAACACCTGAAAATATTCTCATCTTAATTATTATAAATTACAGGGTATAAAATCATGACTGAGAAATCCAAGGGCTTAATTTTTGTGTTCAACAATGTAAATATAGAAATCTCAAGTTTTTTTTTTTTTGTTTTTACTTAAAAGAGTTTTGTTCTGTTCTTATCTTTTCCCTGTGCTTGATTATCTGCAAAACTTTTTTCTGGGGGTTAGTTTACAACTTCACATTGGTATGCGTTTATATCTATATATCTATTTGCAGTCCATTGATTGTTTTATGAACACATAATTAACCCTCTGATTTGGCATTTTCTTTTCAGAATCTCATTGGATTTGGGCTCAAACTAAGTGACACCAAAACCGTGGCTCACCTTATCCAGACCTATGCACGAACCAAAGAATTAAACAAAGGAAAACAGTTGCATGCTAGGCTGATCCGAGGAGGGTGCTTGCCATGCACCTTTCTGAACAATCACTTCCTCAATTTGTATTCCAAATGTGGGAAGCTTGATTACACCACCAAACTGTTTGACAGAATGTCACATAGAAACATGGTTTCTTGGACAGCCATGATTACTGGGTTTGCTCATAATTTGAGGTTTCAAGAGGCTTTGTGTTCATTTTGTCAAATGAGGACCGAAGGAGAAATAGCCACACAATTTGCACTTTCAAGTGTGCTTCAAGCTTGTGCCTCACTTGGAGCAATTCAGTTTGGTACGCAGGTGCATTGTCTTGTTGTCAAATGTGGGTTTAGCTGTGAACTTTTTGTGGGTAGTAATTTGACGGATATGTATTCAAAGTGTGGGGAGGTGCCTGATGCTTGTAAACTTTTTGAGGAAATGCCTTGTAAGGATGAGGTGTTGTGGACATCGATGATTGATGGCTATGTGAAAAATGGACATTTTAAGAAAGCTTTAACAACTTATAAGAAAATGGTCACTGATGATGTTTTTATTGATCAGCATGTACTTTGTAGTACTTTGAGTGCTTGCAGTGCACTTAAAGCTTTTAGTTTTGGGAAGTCCCTTCATTCAACCATTGTGAAGTTTGGATTTGAATGCGAGACTTTCATAGGAAATGCCTTGACTGATATGTATTCGAAGTCTGGAGATATGGTAAGTGCTTCAAATGTCTTCCAAATCAATCCTGGTTGTAGAAATATAGTGTCTTTGACTGCAATTATTGATGGTTATGTTGAGATGGATCAAATTGAGAAGGCTTTAAGCACTTTTGTTGACTTGCGGAGGAGGGGAATTGAACCCAATGAATTCACATTCACTAGCTTGATCAAGGCTTGTGCTAACCAAGCAAAGCTGGAACATGGGAGCCAGCTCCATGGCCAAGTTGTCAAATTCAACTTTGACAAAGACCCCTTTGTTTCTTCAACACTAGTTGATATGTATGGAAAGTGTGGGTTGTTTAACAACTCAATCCAATTGTTTGATGAGATTGAAAATCCTAATGATATAGCATGGAATACATTGGTGGGAGTTTTTGCACAGCATGGTTTAGGAAGAAAAGCCGTTCAAACTTTTAATGGGATGATCCACAGGGGTTTGAAACCGAATGCAGTAACATTTGTTAACCTTTTGAAAGGATGTAGTCATTCAGGAATGGTTGAGGACGGGTTAAACTACTTTTATACCATGGAGAAGATTTATGGTGTAGTGCCTAAAGAAGAACATTACAGTTGTGTTATTGATTTGCTTGGTAGAGCTGGAAAGTTTAAAGAAGCTGAAGATTTTATAAATAACATGCCTTTTGAACCAAATGCTTTTGGCTGGTGTTCTTTTCTTGGGGCTTGTAAAATCCATGGGGACAAAGAAAGGGCCAAAATTGCAGCAAACAAATTGATGAGGCTTGAACCTGAAAATAGTGGGGCTCATGTTTTGCTTTCAAATATTTATGCAAAAGAAAAACAATGGGAAGATGTTAGGAGTTTGAGGAAGATGATAAAAGATGGCAACATAAATAAATTGCCAGGTTATAGTTGGGTTGACATTAGAAATAAAACCCATGTGTTTGGGGTTGAAGACTGGTCTCATCCTCAAAAGAAAGAAATTTATGAAAAGCTTGATAGTCTTCTTGATCAAATAAAAAGTATTGGGTATGTTCCTCAAACAGAATCAGTTCTGATTGACATGGATGACAATTTGAAGGAGAAGCTTCTTCATTATCACAGTGAGAGGATTGCCGTGGCGTATTCATTACTAACCTGTCCAACTGGAATGCCAATCATTGTCAAGAAAAACTTAAGAGTTTGCTTTGATTGTCATTCAGCATTAAAATATATTTCTAAGGTTACTGATAGAAACATTATTGTCAGAGATATCAGCAGGTTTCATCATTTCTCCAATGGTTCATGTTCCTGTGGAGATTACTGGTAATGTTTGAAAGCCTGAAAGTTTTGAAAGATATGATGCTTCATGATAGAAAACTATTTTAAAGGAACTTTCCTAAAACATTTATTGTCACAAATGTTTGCCTCACCATGTAAAACAAAACAAGTGGCATGTCCATGGTATACTAACTTTATATTAACAGGGGTGAGTATTCAAGTTTTCATGGTATCCATGTCATGTGAATTTATCAAGGATAAGATTTGTTGAAATGCATTTCTCCTTGGATGCCTAACTGCACTTGGCTTGTCGCCTTATTATGTCTCACATGGGAATCAATAAGGCACTAAACAGATAATGACCCAAGAAAAGAGAGTGAATCAGACCAAGAATGTTGGATTGGCTTCAGGTTCAAAGGTTACTAAAGTGTTGATGTTTCAGCTAATCAGTAGCAGGGAAAAGAGGGTTGATTTGGAACAAGAGAGCCTTTTACAGAAACATATAGTGTTAAGTGTTATAAAAGTGCTAAGCAAGGTGAGATTTTAGGGCAATGATGGAGTTTCAGTGACTTTGAAGTATATTTTCCCATTGTTGGGTTTATGTTTCATTTCTAGTCACATAGCACAGCCTATTCTGTTATGGCACAACTCAACCAAAAGCTGCATTCATATTGCTCCTCCATTCACACACTGTTCCTGATCCAATTAAATCACCCTCTTTTCAATTACACTGTTCCTGATTCAATTAAATCACCCTCTTTTCCATCACCTGTTGTTTCTCTTCTGAGCCAGCCCTTCACAGAGTGACAGTGAGTTAATATTATTTTACTTCTTGAGCTAAAATATTATAACATGATGAGTCAAAATCATATTAAGTGATCTGTTTCAAGCGACTGGAAGAAAGAGTGCCAATGATTTAATGATTTTATCATGTGATTCTCCTAATATGACAAATACGTGGATTCTTTAAGAGCTTATGGCAATGTTATTGCTAATTTAATCATTGTTTTCATAGCATTTTTTCTGGTACTTAGCCCTCTGTTATGATGTCGTTTTTCATTCTAAAATATATTAATTTTTGGACTTTGGGCCTTGGGACATGGATTTGGACTTAATTTCCTACTATATATGATCAAGATGCCTTAACCTATGAGGTTTTGGATTCGTAGCAACCCTTCCCCTTGAGATAATTTGTTGGAAAGATTCCTCAGGTATTAAGACTTAATTTAGTTCTCTTGTTCTATTAGCTGTTGCAAAAAATTTTCATCCTTATATGAAGCAATAGTGTCTCAGGTTATGTTAATTTAAATATTGTGGACTGTATTTTATTCATTTTCATGTTTTTGCTTCTATCTTGTTACAGGTAGTAAGAAGGAAAAACTCTCTTTGCAATTGTTAAAGTTCTAGGGTTTAGAAATGAATGCATGTATCAGAGAATAAATCCGTTGGAGAAAATGTTTATTTAATTGTTGCATTGTAAATTTTGTTCTCTTGTCATGTTGGAAGAGTAAACGTACTAGACAAGATTAAGTTACAATTGAACACACTAGGGAAAAAAAAAAGGTAGGATAACACCTATGGTAATAAAGATGGCAGAAACTCATCCTAAGTGATTTGCACGTGAGAAGAAAATTATTAGTGATAGAAAAAGTTAACTTCTAACCACTTCTAACAAAGAAAACTAACTTTTCCTATCTCTAATGAAAATTGTAGAAACTGCAATAAGAAGGGATTCAGATTTTCTAACTTTGAAACATGAAAGTTACAGTAACTTAATGTATTTAAATCAAATTTATAAAAATAAATCAGATTGTGACACGTGTACAATATATATTTTGACTTAAATGTACACATGTTACAATCTGATATATTATTACAAATCCAACGGTTTAAATGCATTAAGTTATTATAACTTTCTCTCCATAAAGTTAGAAGATCCATTTCCAATAAAGAAGAATAGATCAAATAGATAATACACTATCTAAAAGCAGAAACAAACCAATAAAAATCATAAGCGAAATCATTAACAAGGATTTTGAAGTCAATAGTTATACTATAAACATGATTTGCAATAGAGCATTCTAGGATCTTATCTATATATGGAGTCAACCCAACTAATGGAAAATGTTTGTTTGTTATTTATTTGTCTTTAGGGAAATGAAAGAAAAGGTAAAGGATTCTAAAACAAAAGAACAGGAAAAGTAGTTAAGGTGGACCCTTCAATGGATTAGAGACCAGAACACCTAACAAACTCATTCTTAGATATTTTTGTTATGCTGAAACATATTATAGAACATTGCACGTATTATGACATTTACGAGTAGTTTCTGTTCCACTCTCACATGACTTATGTATATCATGTTTTCCAAGTGTCCTAAGATTTGATCACTACTCATATTATACACGACGTTCTTGGATTGAGATTAGTTCTAGTTCATCTGTTTTCTATGTCTTATTGATGTATACATTTGATTTTGCTAAGCACAAACTGCGAAAGCACCATCACTCTTAGTCTTAATTTATTTCATAAAATCAAGAAACGGTTAAACTGCAAATCAAGGATTAGACATAATCTAATATTGTGTTCTGATATTTCATTCAAGTTCAACTACTCTAGCCAGCTCATCAATCATGAATCGCCCCCCATTGGTTTATTCTAATGACATGGTCTTCGAGATAATAATATTATATTAATGCTCTATGGAAATTAAATCAGTAACAATGTCCCAAGGCACTTTCCTTGTACCTATATATAAAAAAAACTCTTAGGCAATATCTGATGCGTGTAGGAAATATCAAGAATATAAAAGACAATCGAGGATAAGAAAAGCTTATATCCAAGAAAGCAAGCAAAATATTTAATCACATTTGGTATTTACTTTTTGTGAAATCACATATTATTGATGCTTTTTATTGCCCTATGGTACTGACGTATAGCCACATTCAAGAGCATCCATTGGTGTGAGTTGGTATATAGTTTGAACCTTGAAGGATCTCAACCAACGCTTTACTTTTTGCCTCAACATTTCAAGAAAAAACATATATTATAAGAAAGCCCCCACACAACATGTTCAAATTGAAACAATCAAATTAAAACCAAGGAAAAGAGGCTTGGACATCAACCCTTTGACCTGGTCAATTTTTTCTATGAAGGTAGCGAATATGCGAGCACATGATGTTGTAGTCTATGTTATCATTTTTTTTATTGTCAGATATTTTTTTATTGAAGTTGGATGAAGAAGTTGGGTGGGCCATGAATCAAGAAGATGGGTGGTAGATGGAGTTTTATGCCAAGGCCAAGAGAAAAAACATATTCAAATCATTTGAAACAAAGTTTGACTTTGTCAATTTTTTTAAGATTAATTTGATTTTGCGTCATGCATCACGTCCTAAGGTGTGAGAGGCTCGTAAATTTAGTTGCAGGGCATGAATGAGGCAATGTATTTTGTATATGTGAGATAAAAAAGAAGATTGTAGATTTTTCTTCTTTTTTTTTTTTACTGTTTTAATTCAGGTTAACTTATTGTTTACTTTTCCCTTCTGCTGCTTTCTCCGGTTATACCAAAATGTGTTAATGATTGATGGTTGAGACTTGATTGTATTGTTAAAATAATAAAGTAGTGTTGAAAAACAAAAAATTTCTTCTTCTTATACACAAAAAAATGAGAGAAAACAAACAAATTAATGCTATAAAGAAGAAAAAATCACACTAATTTATTTAATATGATTCAGTCTTATATATCTATGTTCACTAACTATATTTATTATCTTAAAATATATTATATATGTTTATGAAAATTCTCTTTTCAAATTTTAGAGATGAAATTTGAAAATCATTCATTATAAGTTTTACCAATAAAACTTGAAAATTCTTTGTCATAAATTTTATAAATAAAACTTGAAAATCCCACTAGTAACAACGAGGGTTGAATTGTGTACTTTCAAAATTATGGAAAACAAGAAATTATAAAGTTGTGAAAGTAGATGGTTCACCCTTTATCTCATTCATCAAGCATGCTGGTTTGCTTCTCAGTTTAAGGATTTCCTTTTAATTTTAGTTTTAATTTTTTATACTAAAGTATATGTTTTTCTGAAAACGCATAATTTAGGAATAATTCTAATTATAATATTTTAGACTTAACTAGAGGGTCACTGAATCACAATTGCAACATTTATAATATAAAAGTCACACTAATTTTTAAACAGTTGATAATTTAAAATCTTTTATATCTTTTATAGTAATGATAATGTATATGAATTTTACTCTTAATTTATATAATTGAACTTATCTTAATTATTTTCAACAATTTATATATTTTTTTTATAAAAAATAATTTATTTTAATTACACAGTTAAAATATTGAGATATAAATAAAGTCTCACATCGTTAGAACTTAGAACAAGAAAAAAAATAAAGATTTATAAAGCACATTCATACCCTACTGAAAATAAATATTTTAGATGATGACTAAAAGTAAAATCATTAAGGTGTAAGCATACATGTAAATAACCAATAAAAAAATAAAATATATAATTCTTCTCTTGACAAATATATCCCATCAAAGATAAATACCATAATATAACTCTAATAGTGGTATTAGAGTTTAGTGACAACCAATAACCCATAAAAACAAACAACAAAAATACAATACAAAGATAGATTTTGTTGAATGAGAAGTTAGATTTTTTGTTTGAGAGAATGTTGAGAAAAGAGAGACATTAGAAGGGGATTGAATAGTGTTAATAAAAAAATCACACTTTTCAAAACAACGAAGTAGTATTGTTACAACAAGGTGTAGACAAAGATACAAAAATATGAACACAAGATATTTTTATACTGATTCGTCTCAACCATCGAAACTATATTATGTTCTTGATCCAACCAAATCAAGTTCCACTATCTTATACAAAGATACAAATATTCTTTTTCCAAGTCACTTTTGCCTCAAGCCTAAATATTCTTTGGCTTATCTCTTCAAGCAACTACTCAAGTTTCTTTAACACAAAGCCTTTCCATGCTTCAACAACCAAGTATTCTTTTACAAACATGTCTCTCCAAGTTCAAAGCAATAACACTAAGTTATAGTTGAGTAAGATAACATGTTGTTTCATCTTACTTTCAAGATGCAATACAACCAATATAATACAAAGTTAATTTATAGAAAGAATGAATATGGATATGTTTGAATGAAAAATAACATCTTTTTCTGAAACATCATGCTTCCTTATGTGGGTGCTTCAATGAAGATGATTGTTGCAAATCCTTGAGCATCTCTCATAAGCTTACTTCATTTTTCATCTTTGCACTTTGTGGAAAGAAGTGGTTATTGATGCATTAAATGCATTTCATCAAGTTGTCGTTTATTATCTTATCAAGGAGGCTACTTATTATCTTCTAGGTACCAAGCGAGTGAAACTATGTGTTTGAAAGTTAATTAGAGTAGTTACGAACAATTTTATCTAGCATTTTCCATGATTTAGGGGATCCATTTACCTTTCTTTAACAAAAATCATGTCGTTTGTTCCTTTTAATTAAATGAGTATCGAGCATGATTTATCATTCAATCTATTTAGGAATCATACAAATACAAGAGATTATTTTATTAGACATCATAAATGATATGAAATTAAAACGTGCGTTTTTCAAACTAAGTACTTCGTCTGGTTAGATAGCTTAATCATCTTAGTGTCTTATTCGTCTTAGTGTTTTATTCACAAAATCTTTCTCTAGAAAAATATCTATATTTTTTGACATTAAAACTTGAAATTCTAAGAGATCTAAGATCGCCTTTTGATCTAACAATCTCTTCCTTTTTATGGCGACAAATACGTTTTTTGAAAAGAGAAATTTTTAAGCATAATGAATCTATTTATAAAAGAAAGATTAATGATCTTTTTCTTGAAGTTTTTTGAAAAGAGATTTGAATGATCAGACGAAATAGTAATTTTGCGAAAAACGTTTTGCAAATTTGATTTGAAATAGGTCAAACTTTCAACAATATCAATGTAAATATTTATAACACCCATTATCATATCAAACATTTTAAAGCATATATCAAAGCAATTGTATAGTAGAGTATAATATGTATATCAGAGCAAAATATATATATATATATACAAACA